TCTACGAATAGGTGCGAGAGATATTGCGGTCGCAGGTCCGACAGTCTGGAATGACCTACCAGTTTCATTAAGAAGATCTGGAATTAACTTTGTGACATTTAAAAGGGAATTAAAAACATACTTATTTTCTGTGGAAAAATAATGAATTTGAATATTTTGATTTATATCAATCATGCACAGTTATTTTGTTATTTTATTTTTGATGGCGCTTTTGAAATTATTAATTTGCGCTATACAAATGTTTCTAAATAAATAAATAAAATAAATAAATACTTACACACACATACTTACACACACATACTTACACACACATACTTACACACACATATATACACACATACGTATACACACATACACTCACACGTACATATATACACATATTTGTAAATATATACAATTTACGTACCTCATTACATCATTACCTACAAATAAACATACCAACATGCTTACAACCAATAACTTCAACTCACTTCTCGTCACAACACGGCGCATATATAAACTTTTTATACAAACCTTTCATACAAACCTGATACACTCAAACAAAGTGTATTAACAAACAAACAATTCTAAAAACGCACATGCATACGTACATTCACATAATAAACACAAGTGCATAATTGCACTTAAACAGCGTTCAAGACACTCGTTAACCAGAGAACATATACACGTAAAAGCAAGCACACACACATACACACACACACATACACACACAATCAAACACAGGTTTACCTTGTTGCATTTATACTTATTGTTTATTAATAAGTTTGATATGTTGATAACGCACAACATATATTCATGCATTCTGTAACAGTATAGGAGTATGTTACTTTACGTTACGCAATATAGACATTAATTCGTTCATTCATTCAATCAATCAATCATTCTTTTCATTTCTTCTGAATTAGTAAGTTTAATGCAACATTTAGAAGAAAACAAGCAACAAAAGCAACAGCAAAATGATAGTTTGTTTGTGTGTATATACGTATGTGTGTGCGTGTGTGTATGCGTGTGTGTATGCGTGTGTGCATGATGTACGTTGAATACGCGTTATTCACCAGCAAATTTGAGCATATGTTACAATTGATCGCTCAATTATCATATATCAATTATGTGTATATGTTAAAAAATAAAGTTTTAATATGCAAGTGTGTGTGTGTGTGTGTGTCTGTGTGTATGTTTTTGTATGTGTGTGTGTCCATCAACGTCGTGTTCTGTATATTATACTCTACTGTATATTATACTCGCATGTAAGTACACCACAAACACACACACACACATATACATATGTACCACTCTCAATACAAATTATTTTTATTTATTTTGTGTGCATATGTTTACAACTTTCCGTGGTTCCGGTTTACCTGAGCGTTCAAAACGCGATGTAACCACATAAATGAATAAGATAAATAATGCAACTATCTATGCGGGTTGTACTATTTCAAGAAACCAATGATTGCGCTAGAAATGAGGTCAAGTCGTCACACGATCTCTCAAATGATGATGGCCGCTTGTGATAATTTGAGAAGATTATGTTACGCTGTTCTGCTTGATTTATGTGCTAGGTGTATGTATATATATATATATATATATATATATATATATATGTGTGTGTGTGTGTGGGTGTGTGTGTGTACGTATCGGTGTATACGTTTGTATGCGTACGTATATGTGCGTATGTGCGTGTATATACGTGAATGCTTGGGCGTTTGTGCGTGTGCCTGCGTGTTTGGGTGTTTTAACTTTGACTGACTTCCATTAAAACTAAATTTCTAAAGTAATTTAGTTTGTTTTTAAAACTTTTACGGAAGTATTTAATCTTCCTTGTTAGAGTTACTAACTGCTTTGCATCGAATGATGAACAGTTGAGGATGTCTTGTGACTTAAAGGAATTTATTGCATGTGATATTAAATTTGATCACACATCAAACGAATAATTGCAGTTTTTGATCAAAGAATGTGAACCTTTTTATCTTTATCACCCTCTTCCTTCTCATCCTCCTCCTCATCATTCATTTAATCATTCATCATCATCGTCACTCACTCATTCATTTCATCTTTACCAACATCGTCAACGTCACTTTAGGGAATGTTAATACGCTGTTGTATTATTATTATCACTATCAACATCCCCATCACCATCATCGTCGTCGTCATCATCATCGTCATCATCGTTAGCAAAATCATCATTATCGTTATCCTAACATCATGATCATTATTATTATTTATTACTACAATTATAATTATTTTAATCCTAAGTTGATCCTAATTAGTTTGCCTATGATGATAATTGAGCGGTTAGTCATACGTAATTTTTTTGTAATGATCTTGATCTTTTCTCTACCGACATCCCTGTTGTTTTTTCCACCTTTTCAAATATTTATAATTTGCCGGAAGCCACGGAATACCACCACCACTACTACTACTACTACTACTACTGCTACTACTACTACTACTACTACTACTACTGCTGCTGCTACTACTACTACTGCTACTACTACTACTGCTGCTGCTACTACTACTACTACTACTACTACTACTTAGTAGTAGGATTAGTACCACTACTGATGCTGCTGTTGCTGCTACTACTACTACTACTACTAACCATAATAATGATTAATTAGAGAACGACCGCTAATTCTAAGCACTGGTTTATAAATTAAGGTACCTAAGAGCACTTTCAAACAAACTTGTAATAAAAACATTACAAAAATAAATTAAAGTATGTCTGTAGCTAGTTAACTTGCCTTTAAATTATATATTTTTTAATAATGAATAATAATGAAATTTTTTTCAAAAAGTAGCATTTGAGTTTTGTCGTTCGCCATGTGGTTGAGTTGTCTGCTTGTGCAACATGAACTACTCATCCATCTTTGTCTAACTTCTTCGTTGCTAACTGGCAAGGACTTTTTCTTCTTATTATTATTTTATTACTCTTATTTTACAAAACTAAGAGCCGAATGTAGCTAGTTAGTTAATGACAACATGTTGATGTCACATGTTGCTTTGTCTGCAGTGCATATCGCTGGTCTTTACATTTTTTAATTCATTCATTATCATCTTCGTCGTCATCCTCATCCTCTTCTTCATCATCATCATCATTTTCATCATCGTCATCGTCGTCGTCTTTATTTTAAATTAATAATACAACTACTTATCACAAATTATTTATTTTTTCGCACTCTTAAACAATAATTACGTATTTTTTTAAATAATAAAAATATGATTTCGGAGAATTATTGTAGTTAAATTCTTAAATAATAATAAATAAAAAAATAATTAAATAATCCGTTAATAACATTCTACTGTATAACAATAACGACACCATAAATTACGCGGTGCTAATAATATAAGAATCATTGTTATTTGCAAATATTTATTATTATTATTTGTTATTATTATTTTAATTATTATTTTTATTATTATTTTTATTATTACGTTTATAGTTACCTCTGTAAACGTGCTTTCATTAAATTAAATAAACATTTTAAGCTGGTCAGTCATATGATAAATGAATGAATGGGAAAGAGAAAGAATTAATAAATGAGTGAAAGTATAAATGAATGAATGGATGAATGGATGAATGAATGAATGAATAAATAAATGAATGATGAATGAATGAATGAATGAATGAATGATGAATGAACGAATGAATGAACGAACGAACGAATGAATGAATGAATGAATGAATGAACGAATGAATAAATGAATGAATAAATAAACGAATGAATGCATGTGAGCAGCCTATTTAAATTTCACCACAGTCATTCTAATCGTATCAGCGTTATTTACGTGATAAGAGATAGATAGATATTAATAATTGATTTGTTTACGTTAAATGAAATTAATTCTTATGGCTTTATTTGGTAGAAATAATTGTAGAGATAACAAAATAATATATATATATATATATATATAATTTATATATATTATATAATATATATATATATATATATATATATATATATATATATATATTACACATAATATATAAATATATATATATATATAATTGTAAAATTGTGGGAATTATTCAGTTTATCATTTATCAGTTTATCATTTGATATTATATATTAACGACATGGCGCAGAATTAATGCCAGGTCGACCGCTGTTTTAATCCATTGCATTGAGTTAATTCATATATCCTATTAGTAATGTAATTACATTACATTGAAAATTGGTTAGCGGCTTTCAATTCATAAATTAAAGTTCTGGTTATATAAAAATCTAAAAAAAAACAAAATAAAATGATAGTTACTTGACAGATAAACGTTACAAATTGTTGCACAGGTTAACACAAACACTAAGAAATAGTGACGGTAAAATGAAGACGAATTCAATTATAACATGACCTTGACGAGACCTTCAAATTGCACTGCGATATTATAACGTTATTAAACAACTATTGAAAAAACTCACAGTGTTTAGCACACACGCAGGCATACACATACATACATATACACAGAAAAGGGCAGTCACACACATTCTTTCACATAGACACAGACAAAATAAGATGCATGTACAACACTCACATGTGAAAATTCACACCCATCCCTATTACGTTTATTTAATTCAACAATGCTATTTGATTGTCTACTGTAGGGGTGGGCAAATTACGGCCCGCGGGTCGCAAGCGGTCCGCGAAGTTATTTTACGCGGCCCGCGAAGCTGTTTTAGTCGGCCCACGAGGCCTTGTTTGCCAAAAAAGGTCGTCATGACCCAAAAAAGAAGCCACAAATCATAAAATATTTTCTCTGGGTCAAAAAAATTTGCTATTTAAGTACATATGCGTCCCTTCAAAAGTAAAATAGTTCTCAATGCGGCCCTCCCAGCAAAAAGTTTGCCCACATCTGGTCTATTTAAAGCCTATTAGTTGATATAATTAATATTGCGTTTATTTGTGAATAAAATTCTAAATAATCTATAATATTTAAAAAAATTTATTTTTATTTTATCTATTTTTTAGAAAAACTTTTGAACTAATTTTCTTCTCACAGAAATCAGAAGCAACAACTACTTTCAAGAGGTCGCAACAAATTCAACGCCGACTCAACCAAAGTCTGTTTTTCAGTTCCCTTTTTTGTCATTTTTTCATTTTGATGTTTTTTAGTTTCAATTTTTGTCGTTTGAATATTTTTGTTTTTATATGTTCTGGTTGATGTAAAAAGATCTCTAAGCCTCAAACCTATATTCATCAAACAACCAAAAATTAAATTATACATTGCTTTTTAACCAGTTGAAAATTTTTTAAATGTAAAAATTGAACTGCCTACACTTAGGTATAAGATACACACACGCACAACATACACCCACACACACATACACACTTACATACACATGCACAGACAGAGAAACACACGCACATACAAAGGCACGCACACAAACAGATATGATTTTCAAATAAACAGGGAATTCAGTTTTTGATAGAGTGTAAAGTGCTTAACGACGATGCGGAGAGTGTCGCTGAATTTTTGTTGAAAGGGGAGGGCCTCCATAAATCGGCCATTGGGGAATACCTGGGAGAAAAGTAATTTTTTGGTTTTTATTTGTTTTTTAATTTAAAAAACTGTTACTACATTATAATACTAGAATTATTAGCAATAAAATTAACGAAATTTTAATTATTTTATTTGCAGTATTTTGCTATTAACTTTCGATAAATTTTTCTCAGTTTATCCAATTGACATTATCTAGAATTCAAACTCACCTGTTTATCATTGTACTTAACTTTTTTTAAACATTCAGAAACGAATTCAACCTGAAAGTTTTGAGAGCGTTCACATTCATGCACCAGTTCTCTGACATCTTACTCGTTCAGGCTCTGAGGTCTCTTGATTTCTATCGTATTTTTGTGTTTTTTCTTTTTTCTGATTGTGGATAAATTTGTTGATTTTATGTTTGATATTTCAATTAATGTTGTCGTTTAATGTTGTTATATAATCGATTAAGTTGTTTATTATCGTTGTTTAGTTAATCATTTGTATTTCAGTTGAAACATGAACCTAATTTTGTAAGATAATCTCTAACTCTTCCTTTAAAAATTTATAATTTAATTACCACAAATAATGTAGAAAATATTTGTAAATATTTATACAGACAATATCTGTGGAGTTTCATGTTGCCCGGTGAGTCACAGAAGATCGATCGAATCATGGAGTGCTTCTCTGAGAAGTATTGCTCAGACAATCCTCATGTCTTCACCAATTCTGGTGCGTTGTTTGTTGCTGTTTGTTGTTGTTTGTTTGTTGTTGTTTGTTGTTGTTTGTTGTTTATTGTTATTGTTGGTTGCTGTAGCGTTTTTGTTACAAGTCTGTGAAATTTGTTGTATCTCTGAAGTTTAAGCTAGATTATGGTTTTTTTTATAATTAATTACTCAAAATAATTTTATTAAATTTAGAAGTCTGTTTTGTCCTTTCGTTCGCACTGATAATGCTGAACACGAGTCTGCACAACGCGAACGTGAAGGACAAATTATCCTCCGAGAAGTTCAGCAAGATGGTCAGAGGCATTGCAAGCATGCACGAACTACCTGCCGATCTTATTGAGGTTACTTTTTACTTTTAATTTTTAACGACTTTTTAAAATTTTGAATTTCAAACTTTCCCGCCATATAAAAATGAGTTAAAATAATAATTCATAATATGAACAACACAGACACTCTACAAAAGTATCAAAAGGGAGCCTTTGAAGTTGCCCAGCCAATCAGATTGCCAGGATTTGATGTACACATTTTTCAATCCAATCAAAGAGGGATGGCTGTACAAAAAAAGTTTGTAATTTTTGTTCAAATAAATTAGTGAACAATTACTTGTGTGCAAGGTTAAAAGGAGCGAGCGTGTATGTGTACATTTGCTTAAATTAAAACCGTATGCATACATAGAAGCATGTACAGTTGCACACGTGTGCACATAATGGATAAGTGCTGCTTATCTACATATGGACTTTTTTCTAATTGACTCGATAATAATTTATTTTTACATACTGCCTTATACTATTTTTAAATCACTTCAAATTTATCAAATTCAATTTCTGCCAATCAACCTAAGTGCTGATCTATCTAAACGAGCTAAAGATCATGACATAAATCGACGCATTTGAATTAATTATGAGTTAATTCTCATATAGATACATCTAAATTAGCTTAACCATTTGAATGGATGACGACAAAGTGATATAAAAAATACTTTCAAATCATGTGACAGCGCTTTTTACGTTCAATTAACCCATTAAACGACCCATACATTATCGATAATGACATTAATAACAGCGAAATTACTGCTAACAAAACTCACAATAAAAAGCCTGAGTGACAAAATAAACCTTTATGATAATAAATAATTATATGTTGCTAGACTCCAGTAGCTGAAATTTGTTAAATGTTGCTCTCAAATATACGAAATGACATGACAAATCTGCAATGACAAACATGTTATGTGTTTTGGTTACAGAATCATACTGTCCTAACATATATTATTATAATATAATCAGAATTATCACATAACTATACGATAATAATAATAATTACATTATTAATAATAATATTATTGTTGTTGTTATTATTATTTTATTTTATTATGAAACTAACAGGTCAGCAAGGAGGAACATGGAAAAGAAGGTGGTTCCTACTGAACAATGGATGTCTCTACTACTTCATTCAAACCACTGTTAGTTGTGATGACGACGACGACGATGATGATTTTGCTGTTGATGATGATGATGAAGATGATTATAACAAGAATGATGATGTTGTTGTTGTTGTTGGTGATAATGATGGTGAAAACAATGGTGATGTTAATGATGAAGATGATGATAACAGTGGTGGTGGTGTTGTCACTGATGTTGTTTTTTGTTGTTTCGATGTTGATGAAGATGACGGCAATGATGATGATGATGATGATGTTGTTATTAATGATGACGATGACGACGACGACAAGTTTTGTTGTGAATAAAATGCACTGAGATAAAAATTGATCACAGTCAACTCATCGTATTAAAATAAAATAATTTTATTGAATTATTTTATTTTAAAAAATAATAAATATTTAAAAATTATTAATTTAAAATTTTTTTTATCAAAATCATCATCAGGATCTCCAACCGCGCAGCATCATCCCGCTCGAAAATTTAAAAGTTGACGTCTGCAACGACTCAAAGAGACAAAATTGTTTCAAAATATCAACCACCACCACTACCAACAACAACAACAACTCTGACAACAACAACAAGATAAATAACAATAAAAATGACGTTGTCTTCGCTGATGATTACAACAACATCAATTATGATAACATTAACGATAGCGATAGCTCTACTACTTTTAGTAAAAATAATAGCACTGGTAAGGACAGTAATTGCAACATTATTAAGTCATGCAAAACTCAACAATCAGGAGCATTAGTGATCGGTAAGCTGCTTGCCTTTTTGTCATATCGTTGTAGGTTGTGGTATTGGGTAGATTTAATTTTTTTTTTATTTTCCAAGATTTCTATCGCAATAGCCAATGAAATAAAATAAGTTAATAAATTTTAAGTTTAATAAATTTCTAATTTCAATAAGTTTTTTTTATTTTTAAGTTGTAATTGTTTTGAAAATCAATTTTGTTGCATTATTAAGTTTTAATATTTCTAAATATCCAGGCAAGAGGACCGTCTATAAGTTGTCCGCCTCGTCAGCCGAAGATTGTAAGGAGTGGATGGCTTACATTAGGTAACTTAATTAATTAATTATTTAATTAATTGGGTATTTAATTAGTTAGTTAATTAACATTGATATTGACTATATTTCAACGTAAACATTAAGACAGTGTGACCTGTGTTATCTGTTATTAATTGTTTATAATGTTTTCTATGTGTTTACTGTTCTAACTTATTCATGCATTGATAATAGATTTGATAACCTTATAAAATTAGAAATATAAACTAAACTTATTATATATTATTTTAACTTAAATTAAAATTATTACCACTTAGTCATATAATAATAATAATAATAATAATAATAATAATAATAATAATAATAATGATTAATAATTAATTAGTTAGTTAATAAGCTTCTTTATAATTATTATAATTAAATAAATTAATTTAAATAAAAATTAACAGGGAAAGCATTATGGATAACCCCCTCCAGAAATTACTGAACGGTCGAAAGTCGAAATCTCCATCACCTACTCTCTCCTCCTCCTCATCTCACCACCTTCACTCTTCAAAGAGCTTGTGTAAAAATACATCACTTGCTTCTCTCTCTTCGATATCACCATCTCTACTTTCATCATCATCTTCGTCGTCGTCATCTTTGTTTAGATTCAACTCGCTTCATAATAAAAAGAAATACATTGTTACTTATTAATAGTAATATTTTGTTCTAGTTTATTTGTTTGATCTTTTTTCCCGTAATATCTAAACTTTTTTTTGAATGAAAAACATGTTTGTTTATATATAAACGACAATATTTAATTATGCCAATGTTAAATTAGAATTTTTGGATTTGAAGGTCAATAATTTGTTAGTATAAAATTGCATTTCATCTTTTGAAAAATAATATTTGATTCAGTTTAGGTCAATCAGAGCTTACTAATCTAATGTTAGAATTTTAAGTCATTCCAGGTACAAGTAACTAAATAAATATATGTAAAAATGATTGAACCGTTCATGATTCAAATTCATCGTCAGTCGGACATTTAACATTAGGATGTGTGTGATAAAAAAAGGAGTGGAGACACTGGAAGAAATAAATTATTCTGTCGTTAAATCGAAACGAAACCGCGGAAGTTAATAACCTTAAAATCAGAAGTTTATTAGTTGGATGCACACACATACAGACAAAGACACATCCACAAATCTCTAAAACACATTCACACATAGACACATTCACACATAGAACTCTCTATTTGATTGTCTGCTTCTGTGTTGGAATTCTCGTAAACATCGTTAGAGGCTTTTCTGTTTTGAAGCTGCACGGATATCGTAAATAAAATTCCTTTAAAATGAAATTAAAATTAACAAGTTAATATCCCGATTACGGGATTAATAACGATTTCATCAATGCTCCGTCCTAGCATTCTTTTCAAAGAATGAAAATATGAGGCAATTAATTTGTATAAAACACCAAATTGGTTGGTTCGAACCGAAAAAAACTTTTACTCTTCGGTTCCGGTAGCTTCTTTCTAGGGGAAAGTTATTTTGAAATAAAAAACTTTCCTAGATTAGTATTTTGAAGTGTACCGATAACTATAAAATTGAAACGGAACATATTAATGAAACGTTTGATAAAACTTTAGAGCTTCCTTCTAATAAATATTTTGGAACATCTCTGAAATCTAGATAGGCATAAAATTAAAATTAATGTTTGAAATACTGGCGAAAGGAAATTATTAGTTACAATTTTATTTTGCATGTTTCTGAATCATCGCAAAGCTTTCTGACAAGTTTATTCATTCGAATATTTATACACATAGCATCGTTGAACACAATAAACTTTAAACTTTGAACGTAATGAATATAAACCGGCAATAAAGAAAACATCGTACGTTCGAGTGATCACATACGCACGTAGGAATGTTTAATCGTAATAAATGCATATAAAAAATAATTTAAAAAAAATTTAATTCGCTAATACTGAGTTATAATTTTTCGTTCACAATTAAGCAGACTACGAAATATTTTCATCAGAAAATCTGATGTATGTTTGATAGACGAGAAAATAATTACACACTACTTACAAAGATGTCATAAACAAAATACATCACCACTAATTACAAATAGGCATCTTTGACATCGGTCAAATTAACCATCAAATAAATAAATTTAATCGTTTGAAAATTCGTCCAGTCATTCATGCCAACGAGATTTCGACGAAAATATATAACAAACATAACAAAATAAAGGTTTCTGGCAAAAATGACTAAATACTGAGATTTGAGCATACAACACGTGCACACGTTCAAAACACTTCACGATCATTGGAGACTGGATAATAAGGCGATAAAAATTTATATAGAACTATACAGCAAAACATTTCAAGTTGACGTCAAATCAGAAACATAAGGCAGTCTTCTAATACTCCAACGACAATTTGAATTAATTAAGAAATAAAATCTACAACACACACACACCACACACACATGAAACAAGCAACAATCAAAATTAAAAAAAACAACTTGCACATGTTTAAATGTGAACTAAACTAAAATGACATGGACCCAAATCATGCAGTTTGATCTTGCAGTAGTGACATTCAATTTCGGATAAATAAAAATTATAAAGTAACATTCCTGTCAGCTGATCAGAATAAACCAAACAAACAACAACAACAAAATTGTTAAATGAGACACATTTCACATTAAGTTCAAAGATTTAATTAACTTTAATGAGATAAAAAAATTCTTAATCTGTGAAACTTACAATGTGGTTAACGTTGAAATAACTAACGCTCGACAAACCAACAATAACTGTCATCTTTGCTAGCAGTCGATATATTCAATAACATAAAATAATTTATCAGTTAACACAAATGCAATTTCCATTTTTGCCTCTTGGACATATTTTCGGACAATTTTTTTTGGTGTAGAGCAACTTAGTGACTTGCATCATTCAGGAAAATTTTTTCAAAGAGACTAGCTGTGTTAATAATATTGGAAGACATCACAGCAAAAAATGTTTATCTTCAAGTGGAATAAATCTTTTTTCGTTTATTAACACAAACATGAATAAAAACATACACATATGAAAAAAACACAAACACACACACGCATACATACACAGGCACATGCGAAAAATCATAATACATAAATTATATAAGTAGATGTAAGTCTAAAAAATAAGAATGAAATGTTTTTAAAAGAATTTAGCTGAGGAATTCAGTGCCGTCATCATCCTCATCTAACGTCATGTCGTCGTCTTCATCGTCACTGTAGTCATCTGATTATAAAATTAAATTATTAAATTATATATTTAATAAAAAATAGTAACCAAAAATGCAGGTAACCTATCGTATAGGACCAAGCAGTAGAAATATAAAATTATAAAAAATAGCAAGAAAGACGAAAAAACACAATACTAACAATCACATCTCCAGTCCTCACCATCGGCTTTATCCCAGTTTTCACCACCATTTCCATCTCCACACTCGTCAAGACGATCCATTTCGTAATCATATTTGACGTAGGAGTGCCTGGATGAGCCCAATCGTGGCCACTCGGATGGTTCCTTCTTCACCAATGTGACGTTGACCTCTGAAGAGTTCACCTTGATTGGGCAGTCCTCCGGAATGATTTCAGCGTGCAACTGAAGGTTGAATGAGTACTCCTGCCTATTCGATACAGCTCTGCAGGGAAAGACATTCGCAAATGAAATTCAATTTATAAATTTTCTACCTTCTAAATTGTGTTGCTACGAAATAGTTGATGTAAATACTGCTTAGTACTAAAATTAAAATATGTTAAACTGCACCAGCAATAAATTTTTAGTTACTATTTTAAATTTGTGACATGATTATTGTGATCGTTACAGTTTTTTTTATCTTGCCAACGAAAGGGTAAAACGAATTATGAAATAAACCTTGACACCAACCTGAAATGTATGGACTGTTTTTCAAGTTTGATGGGAGGTTCACCACAACCATCTTCTTCACCACCCCCAACATCTCTAACCTCAATCCTCATCTTTATCAGGCTATCAGATACATTTGCCCAGGAAACCTCTGGTCTTTTGCTGTTATAAGTAATGTATGTGTATGTTAACAAAAAATATCTACCATAAATAAATAATAAGATAATTATAAGACAAATATATTTATTTAAAATTTTAGAAAATATAATTATCATCATAAAAAAGATAATTTTATATTAATCAGACCTTGCTCGCGGCTTCTTCAGATCATTCACTTGGTCCTTCGTTAGTGGTTCATTTGTAATGGCCTCACTGTAAATAACAATAAAAAATTAACTTTTAAACTCCATCGAGATAAAAACTATAGGATAACAAAAACAACAAATACAGCAGAGCAGGCGGTATTATGTATAGGGATTTTAAAAATTGCGCTATATAGCCATATCTAACTGGCTGATTGACTGACAAACACAAATTATTTAACGTAAATTGTGCGGTTATAATCAAATTAAAAAGTAACCTTTTTTCTTCATTCGTTCCTTTCTTCTCCTTCTTCTTCCTAGCCAAAGCATTTGTTAATTTTTTGCAAACGTCGTCATCGTCATAATCATCCGGATAGTTCTTCTGCAATCTGTGATTGGTCAAGTCAAGTTAAAAGTGAATTTAAATATATAGAAAGATTGTTAATCGTCATTTTAAAATTGTCACCTTCTTATTAATGTTAAAATTAAAAGATGGCAGATACCACAAGTGATAACAATTAATCAGCATTGTAAGCCAATCTTAATATTTATCTCATAGTAATTCAGGCATCTGGTGACAATAAATTTTAATAACATCCTCATCATCATCAATAGATCATCATCACCAATTCATCATCATCGTCATCACCATAATCTCATATCTCCACAAACCTTTCCACAATCTGAAGGACTTTTAAGCCATTTAGCTCCTTCCTGGCATAGAAACTGGACTGGGAGATGATCGTGAACACGTTGAATACATCCTTAACCAGCTGTCAATCAAAATAAATTTATTTGAATAAAATTAAGATTATGCAAATAAATCATTGTCAAGTTAATAAATTAAAAAACAATATATAAACTCAAACCATGTAATGTAATATAAGGTTGGAATTAATTGCAGGAAGCATTAATATAATAGATGATTTCAACGAGGTTTCACATTAATCCAAGGACTGATATCATATGATAATGCATTATATTATTTTGAATGATTGATAAGTTAGGTGATAGATTGACTGATTGATTGATTGACTTAGCCTAGCAAAATAATTTGATTGGTTGATTGTGATTAATAATAGGAATATACATATTTTAATCAGTTATTTGATTTTATTCTATGTTAATAAATGACTAGTAAATTAATATAATCAGATAATCTTGGGTAAAATGATTGAATTCATTAGTGACGAAATGATTAACAAAAATTAATCTTAAGATTAAATTAATAATCCCAATCGCTTTAATCTATATTATCTAGAAAACTCAATAACAACTGTGAAATAAAACAGTAAAAAATATTTGCTTACATCGACATCTTTGCAATGGTCAACCAGAGATACCAAACTGGAAAGTGCATGATTCGTCTGCAGACACCTAACGCTGTTGTGGTGGTCAAATGATGAAAAATGAAATATAACAATATGAACGCTTTTTTTTATCACCTCTGTCATCATCTTTACCACTACGTCCACGTCTTATTAGTAGAACTGATAGCATTAGATGAATGGCTAAACGGTCCCATCCAAGCTAAAATGATTCTACGTAACTTGTACATATGAATAACCACCAAATAGCAACAAACAAGTAACACAACAACGCAAATCGCAAGATAACAAATAACACAACACAAACCAAACCAATGATAAAAAAGGCACACAAAGAAAATAAAAGACAACACAGCCAGCTAAATACACCATCTACAAATTACAACATCTAAGAGCAACAAACAATCCAACAAAAAAAAACAATCCACCCCAACTAAACAACAACACCACCAACAGCCTCAACAAACAACAAACTAACAAACAAACGAAAAAACAAATAAACAAACGAACAAACAAATAAACAAACAAACAAACGAGCAAACAAACAAACAACACCTAACCACTTTTCCCAATTGTTATTCCTGTCATTGCATCTGCTTCTGTTATTGTCCTTGTTGATGATCAGTACGACATATATCAAATCAACGCATAATGTCAAGGTCGTTCTTGAAATTGTTGCCAACAACGACGATGACGATGTTGTTGTGGACGATGACGTTGTTATCATATCGATGCATCTATTTATGACGCAACACACCATCTGGAGACTGTCCACATAGTCTAATTTTCTGTTGTTAGAAGAAAAAAAGTTTTGTGTCAATAAAAAAAAACAAAGCGACAATAGGATGAGTTTACTCACCTGAAATAAACTTGCTGTGTAAGTTGTTGTGGCTGCTGTTGTTGATGAATGTATGGCTGCTGTTGTTGTATGTTTGGTTGTTGTTGTTGCTGAGACATTGGATGATAAACATTTGTGTGACCTTCGTCATTCAGTTCAGTTTGTGATTGTAGATGTTGTTTGGAGCATTGAGTCTTATCATTAATGTTAGCTTCGTTATGCAGTGGCTCCGTAGAATGATGATTCTGGTCTTTGTTATTAACTTCCTCATTGCTGTTGCTTACGGCGTTGTTGATGTTGTTTCGATACAAGTTGTTCCCGCCACTACCAAACTCATCATCATCATAGTTTTCAAACTCATCATCATCATCATCATAGTCATCCTCATCATCACCAATGGCCCCTTCTTGACCAGTAATTTTGCGAAATTTGGACAGCTCGTTGTCGACAAATTCCAGCAATTGTTGCGAAACATTTTTGTATCTCTTCCTCACCAGGTTGATGTTCAACTGCAGCTCACGTTCCCACATCTTTTTCAACTTCAACAAATCAGCATGTTCTTGCTGCTGCTCCAGTTCTGCAGAATTCATCGGAACAACAGCATTCTCCTCTTCAGATGATGTCGTCCTTGTTGACAGGACGTTTTCTTCACCAGACGTTGTTGGGTTAGTTGTGGAGAGAACATTTTGTTGATCAGATGATTTCTTGGAAGCGCGAGCAGGAATATTTTGATGAGAAATATCTATCCCATAGCCAATTTGTTTCTCCAGCAGGTTAATAATTATATTTATGCAGAGGTGCGTCAACTGCAAACAAATTTAAATTATTAAACTGCTCGTTCATGTTCAGACCAAACATACCACGCACAAAAGAAAATCAGTTCAAAAAAAAAATTTTTCGTTTCTTAAAATTTGGTACCAAAACAAGCATATGCAACAAAAAAATAATTTGCAACAGAACAGAAACAGATTATTCTACAGATAAATTCAGAGGATAACGATAAAGAAGTGAGATTTATTAAAAATAAAAAATTACATTTATGGGAAGATTGATGTTGATGAGAATCTTTGAAAGTAAGCTCACGCCACCCTTCATTCTGAAACATTCCTGACATCTGGGTAATTAATTATAATAATATTTGCAGTTATAATATTTATGAGTAAAATAATATTAATTAAACAGTTCAATTCAAAAAATAAAAATATTTTCTGAACGATATTGTTGAAAAACATTAAGAACGATTGGAGCGTGGAATATGAATATCGACAGACATCATTGACAGGCATTATTTCAACGGTAGCATGGATAAAATTTGTGGTAGAAAAATAAGAATTCATTCATCATAAAGAACAAAACAAAAAAGTGCTAATAAAACAACCAGCCTAAACTTTTCATAAGACAAATAACAACTAAAAACAACCCACAATATAAAAAACGCAACTAAAACAACATCAACACAAACAACAAAATAAACAACAACATCAACACAAACAACAACAACAACACAAACTAACTCTGAACACTGAAGCATCTGTGGCAGAGATTGAAGGAGGAAGAGCAAATATTTGGCATGTTGAGATGGACTTGTGCCCCTTCTAACAATCATACAACTGCAGTGGTCGTTGCTGGTGACGTCATTGTCACTACAACTCAAGATCCTCAACTGTGAAAAATGGCATGAATAAGGAACATAAAATTATAATAGGCATTACAAAGTAATCGTAACAATCAACACACACACACACCACACACACACAGACAACTTACTCTATCCAGCATAAAGCAAATGGTGTTCCATAAGTTACAATTCTTTGCTTCTGAACAAAACCTTTTAATGAAAATTCCCCATAATATATTTAATATAAAATAAAAATATTACAACAATACTTATAAAAACTATAAAGAAATAAATTACACACACAACTATTGGACAGCCAAATTAGTTAGATATTAATGATTCCTACCTATCCTTATGGACAACCAAGAGTATAGCATTTATAAGAGGAATGATGTTGTTACTGTATCTCGTGTACTTTAACGTTCGATTCAGAATGTCCAAATAATCCACAGTTTTGTAGTTGCTTAGTTTAAAAAAAGTTGTATTTAGTATAAAAAATATGTTTACTATAATAATTATGTTTAATGTAGTATAACATAATTATGCATAATATAAAAATTATATTGAAAACATCAAACAATTAAATTGAAAGAATTTTTTCATCAAGATATTTACTTCATGCAGGCATCCTGAACAGTTAGCAAGATCTGATTGGCCAGTTTCAAACACACACCTCTGCCCTGTTAGAATGAAAGAAAACATCAACAACGCCACTACTACTGCCGTTACTACTGCTACTACAACAACTACTACTACTACTACTATTACTTATAGTATTGCATGAACAACATCAACACACAACATAAAAGCACAATAAAACAACAACAATGTCAACGATGCTAGCAACAAACAACAACGCTATCAGCACACAGCAGTTATATCAACACACACAACAACAGCATCAACATCACATCATCACATACATACCTTACTAAGTAGATATCTCTCACAAAGACTGATGAACTTGCAAACTGATAAGCAGTGCATTTTATCTTCTGGAACATCTGCATCCTTATCATCACCACAAATACCTCTGCTATCATCATCATCATCTTCACTTTCATCATAGTCGTAATCATTGTTATCACTATCCGTTCTTCCATTTAATTTTTTACGTTTTTTCTTACCACTACCATCATCATCATCATACTTAGATGATAAGTCCTTGAAAAGATCCTGTGCAAGAGAAATATAAAAATAACAAACACACAAAAATAATGATAACAAATGAGAAATGAGTACATATATTTAAGTATTATCGTTATATATCATCATCACTAACAGCACAACATCATCATCATCCTCATCATCATCACCATCATTACACCATAACCGTCTATGCGTCATTCTCATCGTCAGCATCATAATCGGATGTCAAACAACCAATCATCATTATCAACACCGTCATCATCAAATCTCACCTTGACCCCGTTAAGAGACACAACAGCCATCCTATTGGCCACAAGCAGCTCGGTGTAGCTGACCACATAATCGCCGAATGACGTCGTATCGTGGAGGTTCACTGAGTACCTGTACTCACCTGTATTAAGGGCTGTTGTCAGAGCTGAGCCTACCTACAAGTTTATTATGTCATATTACATTATATTGTTAATATCATTATTTTATTATTATCTACTTAGAACTGAAACTGACTTAATATAATATAATATTATTCTAATATAAATCATTGATAAAAAGAGAATACAATTAATTTATTGTTAATTAATTAATTGATCGAAATATTCTAAAAGCAATTTAGTAAATTAGCAATTAGTAACTAAATTGAATAACAACAAGAATAATTTTCTACCTCAACAGTTAATGCTACGAGTTTTGCATTACTGACATCTTCCGATGCATCTAACATGAACGAACCAGAGTCAGGCGACCAGCTTTTTAATGTCGTCGTTGTTGATGCCTTCTTGCTGTTGTCATTCACGTTACTGCTGTTGTTGCTGTTGCTATCACTCACGTTATCACTACCATCATTATTCGGTGGATCAACGTCATCATCTGCGTGGTGGCCATCAACATCATCATCGCTTTCCTCCTCATCGTCATCTTCATCATCGTCATCATCCGTGGAGTCAGAGTGATCTACGCTGCTGCCAGTCCAAACCTTCTTTGCTAGCTCCTTAAACTTTAGGATGACATCTGGTGGAATGGCATCTTTCTCTTCCCCATCATCACCATCACCCTTATTAGCATTACCAGAAGTTTTATCGAATTTGTTATTGTCAGCTACCAAGACATTACCGTAACAGCTACCACCACCGCCACCACCATCTTCATCTTCATCTTCATCGTCATCGTCATCGATTGGCTCCACAAGCATCATGCCACACTCGATGGCTTGGAAGGGCAGCTGCTGTTTGTAATATGACGTCATAGGAAGGAGATCGTCACTGACGACGACTTCGGTAATCCCGGTGTCCACAAATAAGACTTCAACTTCCACTTTTGAGTAGTTGTGTCGGCAGAGCTGGTCCTCTAAGTTATCATCCTTCTCATCACTCATTACGGCCATCACCTTTGCTCTGTGCCACCTTTTAGGGTAAAATAATAGTAATAATAATAATAAAATAATAATAATAATAATGGTTGCAATGTAAAAAGAATAATAAAAGAAAAATAATTAAAACAATTTTTTGCGATTTAAAAAGAATAAAAATAAAAAAATAATGTTTCATCGGCCAAATTTGTTAACCTCATGTCTTCCTGGGCCTTTGCAAGCACCAGCATGTTACTCCTCCACTCAACGTCGGCATCTCTCTTCTTCACCTGGTCCAACTCCACGCTCTTGTTCAACTCATCTTCTAAGGCTTTCAATCTGAATTAAACATTTCCAATCAACAAATTAATGGATAATTCTAATAGTGAATTAAGTTAGCATGTATTATTATTATTAAAGATGTTTATGATATATTATTAATATATAACAACAAAAGAATAAAAATTACATCACGAAACAATGAAAATTCAAGAAAGTTTAAGCAGATAAGAGCAATGCAACCCTTGAATACCTTTCAAAATTTTCAACTTTCTGAACGTAGAAGTGGCAAGGATTCTCAGCGGCAGATATGTGAACCTTACACGCCGGTCGTTTCGCCTGTGTTGCTGTTAATGAATTTGTTGCTACTGTCGCAACAGATGTCGTCGCTGGTGGTGGCGAAGCGTCAGTCTCTGGTGGTTTGGTCAGGGCAGTCGACGTCGAAGAAGATGTGATTTCAAATTTTTCGGTTAGCAATGGTAGAAACAATCCTTTTGAGCTGGGTGCATTCAAGTTTTTTCATTAAAATTAGGCCAGCAAATGAGTGAGTGAATAGTCCACAAATTTTTTTTAATAAATCTAAAGTAACGATTCATTATATAAAACTTTAACTGTAACTTGAGCTATCAAAATTTTTAAAAAATATCATCATCATAATCAACATCATCGGCATTATAATCATCATCAACCTCATCAACATCACAATCCTCATCAACCTCATCACCACCATAACCATCACAATCCTCATCATCATAATCATCATCAAACTCATCATCATCGCCATCACAATCATCATCACCATCGCAATCATCACCAACACCATCGGCCTCATCACCACACCAACCTGTACGCATAGTTAGTGAACTGATGACTCCTAACGAAACCTGGAACGTCATGAAAGGAACCGCCGCAGGAATGAAAGAGCAGCTCCATGTGCTACGCCACGTTGAATTAATTAATCATCAATTATTATTTTATTTATAATTTTTCTATAATAATTATTCAATCAGTAATATCAGTTAAACAGATAAATAAATAAACATTTAAACAAATAAACAAATAAATAAATAAATAAAGCCCTAACTTGTGGGTTCTCATCGGCCAGTTGGTTGTCCAGGAGCATGCGTCTCACGTCACATAAGGTCGACCAGACGTTCAAATTAGGCAACTTTTCGACTTTCTCCAGGGGGTCCATCCAAAATGTATTACCTAGTCTACGTATGTATGTACGTGTGTGTGTGCGTATGTGCGTGCATGTACGTTAGTGTGTGTATGTGTGCGTGTTAGTGTATGTATGCGTGTGTGATAAAATGTGTATAAAATTCATACCAGATGAATTTTATACAAATTTTATTATGGTCATCCTGCTTTCATTAAATTTTTCAATTTTGAGAAACAAATAAAATTTCGTTTTTTTTCTTTTCGTGTGTGTATTTGTGTGTGTGTACGTTCGTGTTAGTGTGCGTATACGCGTGTGTGTATGTTACTTTGTGTATGTGTGAGTGTATATGTGTGTGTGTGTGTTAGTAGATAAAGATTGTTTACAAGAAACAAAAAAGAAGGAACCACCAACTTGAAAATCATCCTCCCTGATAGGACGGATCTATATAATTGGTTCTCAGCAAATTCTTGGGCCTTTAAATTTTATTTAGTTCATTTTAATCAACTTTCATTTGATTTTTATAACTATCTCTAGTTTATTATTTCCCAGAAGTACTAGCAACAAACGTGCGGTGTATAAGAAACGCACGCGAATCAACGCATGCCATACAAACAAACAGTTAAATAATAAGACGAACGCATGCCATACAAACAAACAGACGCGCAGAACAGCAGTGCCAGGCGCCTCAACCAGTATGCTATCCATCGCACTATGAATGAATATGTCAAACAATAAGATGATCCACTAACTCTACTGTTCCAGGTTGTATCTTGATCAACTGGCTTCAGCCTGCATAGGCAGATTTCAACTGCCTGAATAAAAAACGAAAAGAAACATTGGATGTCAGGTGATGTTTGTAAGTGTAACCGCTTCGTTGTTTGTCACGCCGTAATTCATGACAGGTTTTTAAGTTCTACATACAGTCAAATATTATAATATAATTCATTAATAGAAAAACACGAAAGTACATTTTTTTAAATGCTACTGAGCATTAACTTTATAATTCTTACCGTTGGGCCTCTAAAAAAAAATTAAATCAGACAATATTTAAATTACATTAAAGCCAGATGAAGCAATAAAAGATAAAGTGAAACAACGTAAAAAATACAAAACAACGACGTATGAAAGACGAAATAAGTCAATTAATTGAAAAAAAAGTCAAGAGCAACGAAGCTAGCCTGGAAAGGAACACGCTGAAACTGGTCAGGCAGGACGAGCAACTTGTCAACTTTAACGTGCAGCAACCTCCCATAATCCACGCAACTGACCACGGCCTCTGTCGGCAGGTAATCCTCTGAATTGGGACTCACTCTGATCACTTGCACTCTGTCGTGGTTCGTTGCATAACAAATAAACGTATGATGAATCGATTATTATTAAACGTTCAAATTTTTTTTGCGATGAAAATTAATATAGTTAAAGGAACAGCGAAAAAAATTTTACGTAACGTAAATTAAATTCTTCAAAATTATAAATTCGTGACATGGTTTGTAATGATATCTTTATATTTGTAATTTACCTGAGAAAAACCTCATCGGCATCCATGTAAGCCAACAAAACGTTCAACTTCACATTGTCTAGACGATGGATGATTTTAAAACATTTTCATGAATTTTATTCATATTTCAATTTTTGAAAAATCAATTAATTAATTAACTAATTTATTAATTAAAGTAGTGAACTAACTAGGGTCAACTTTCACGCAGTTACTGTGGCAGCCAAAATATTCAGCCAATTGGAGAGCTAGAATTTTGGCTTGTGAATGTTTGATTGGCTGTTGTTTTACAGGATCCACCCACTCCAAAATGTGGGCGTGGTATATGAAAGGGTTCTTGATGTTTGTAATGAGCATCTACATCGAATTGAGCAATTAATTTGGAATAATTAAAAAATAAATCAGAAGAATTCAGCAACACCCTGAACCTATAAAAACATCGTTTTAGTAAATTATGTGATAACTAATTAAAACTGCAAAGAAAAATGTTGAGAGAAGTGATTGAGACACAAAAATATGGGAAGTTAGATAAAAAAAAAGATCGAAAACAATTACTTTGACGACAACGGAAGTAGGGATGTCGATATGATATTCACGATCTTTGTCGATATCAGCTGATTTGTTGATGACGTGTCTTTGTTTACAATAGGATTGGTTGCTGTATCAAGGTATTTTTATATCCATATAACACATTTTCTAAGTTTATCATTAAATATTTTGCTAAATAACCAATAAAGTTACACAACTTGTACCATCAACTCTCTTAAATTAGTGATTCTCAAGCAATTAAATAACGACGCGCTAACCAACAATACATATTGTATAATTGAAGGTTGAAACAAAAAATTAAAAAAAAAACTGGAAAATTAAACTAACAAGCACTCTCCAAAGCTTTTGAAGTAGTCACAGAGGGGCATCTTGTTGATGCGACCCTGCTCGCTCTCCAGCAACTTCACCGAGAGGTGCATGAAGCTTGGAATGTTCGTACAGCCACTCCTGACCAATAATTTAACGTTGTCTTGTTGTTAGTGTTGTTTCATTATGATTATTAAAGTAAGTAAATAAAAAAATGATTAAACTTTAAAAAATATGAAGATCCAAATGACCTTTTTAAGACTTTATAAAGATTTTTTATGAAACCACTTTCGCATTCCTCCTTGGACACCATAAGTATGCTCTTTGGTCTCCTCAATGATGGAATTTCCATTTTTTGTTCTTCAGGGTTTTCCAGTGCTTTCATTTTTTGATACTTGAACTGAACAATGATCGTGACGAAGAAAAAAATTAAGCATATAAAAGACAATTAGAAATAAAGTGTCGCACGAAACATTAATAGAACTATCATTCGTGTTACTCAAACGACAACGACAGCTAAAAGTACAAGTTCACTCGTTCGCAATGTTTAGCGAGAATACAAACATCAAACTGAACGAAAACCTGAGAACCCCTCTTACCCTATCTGAAATCTTCTGAAAGTGCTCCCTGGTGCACCAGAGTCGGTCAGCAAAGATCGACTGTTGGTCGGGGTAATCGAAGTGGATGACCATCGTGGCATCGGACAGCCTCACGTCCAACATCATTTTCATGACGTCATCAGATAGCACTGCACAATTAGAATGGGCGTGATGATTTTAATATTGTAAAGTTTTACTTTGAGAGATATAAAATGCAAGTCAAGCAATGTTTAAACGATGCAAATGCCCCGAGGCAGTCTTTCAAACACGAACGCGATGTTAAAATCTACATTATCTGCTAAGGTAAATTGCGAAATAAACTATAATGGCTAAAACGTTAAAAGCAACCTAGAACAAAACTAGAAAAATCTTCATTGTCTTCAATTTTGAAATCACTTTTGCAACTTCCCACATCGTCATTATTTCCATCACTCTCTCCATTTAGAAATGCTTCATCCTCCACGCTGCTCTTGGGAATGTTAATTGCTTTCCACTGGTTGAAGACCTCGGCTATCTCACAATCTGATGACGTCGTAGTGCAGATTCCAATGGCCAGGCGCTCTCTTTTGAAGAACTTGTCGAGGTACTACGAGAGGAAGCAGTTTTGGTTGAAACAATTTCAAAAACATTGGTTCATGAAAATATTATTATATTATCATTGCCATCTTCGTACCATCATCATCATCATCATTATAAGTAACTATAATGATAACAGCCACAACTGAGTGACGTCAGTAAGGTAGTAAGGTATATAACCTTGTAGATTCCCTCTGCAACATGGGTTGACGTCGAGAAGACTAACACTTTCTGATTGGTGAGGTGACGACTAACTACCTCAGATAGGACGGCCATGTTTGAAGACGGGGTATTAATGAGTGAACATTCCTGG